CCCAAGAGCCTCACAAGAAAGAATTTCTTTCCAACATGCAGCTGCTCATTAATTCCTGGGAAAACCTGAAAACAAACTGAGTTTTCAGTAACATAGTAATCCTTCCATTCTGAAGTTTCACTGCTATTTTTTAAAATAAATCACTCATGGACATTAAAAAAACTCCAGCATTTTGAACATGCTATTTTGATCAGCTACACAGATGCACACATATACTGCATTCTGGCAGCAGATTTGGTGACAATTGTGTGCTCAAATAACTAAAAGGGAGGAGCAGAGAAAGCATTTCCACCCCCACTTGTGCTCTAGGGCAGTATGCACCCATTCTTGGATACCTTGGGATTTTACCCTCTGCCACCACCCCAGCTGCAGGAGGAACTTGGTAAGGAAGGCAGAATCCTCTGCACCTTGGAGCTGGGCAGCACAAGGCACGGGCAGCTGGTGCTACTGCTGCAAGGCAGGTACAGCATCTCCTCTGCCATTTCCAGCATGGCACAAGGGTATTTGGCACTTAGCTAGCAGACCACAAATGCACAGCAAACAAGCCAGGTCTGTTATATTTGCACCAGGGCTGAGCTCTGCCATCATCTCCATCTGTACATCCACAAGACCGTAAGAGCTGTGCTCTGTAAGGCAGCCCCGATCCAAAACCTCGTACAAACACCAGCCTCCTCTCACTGCGCCACTGCCACCACTGTCCCCCACTTGCCCAAGGGAATGGGTGGGTTGTGCAAGAAACTCAAGGCATCACCTTGAGTCACACATGAGTGTGTTTGCCCATGGCTTTCCCTCTGCTCATGCAAATCCCAGAGCTGCAGGGCTGCTGCCATGACAGGAGCTGTCTTGGGGCTGCTGCAGAGCTGCCCTCCATGACAATGAGCAGTTGTGGAGCACAGAAGAGCAGGCTGTGGAGGCTTCCTACAGTACCAGGGAAGGAGAAATGAACAGCAAAGGCTGTGGTAACAAAGATGAAACCTTGATTTATGCCCAGAAGCCCGTGTTGCTGGCAAAGAGCAGCACTTGGTACCTCCTCCCTCCAGCAATCCAGAGACTATGTTTCATTCCTAGATTTTAATAGCTTGTCTTTGACCCCACAACAGTTTGTGAGTTACGTGGGCAAAGCTAAGGGGAGCAGAGGCAATACCTCCATATGATATTTTGCCAGTCTGGATGCATTCCCTTTGCACATACAGCATTTTTGGCTGATAAAATGCAGGAATTTTGGCTGACTAAACCTCCTTTCCTTGCTGCAAGACCTTTCATGTCATTACCTCTGTCTTTCCTGACGCATACAGGGCTTCCAGGCTCAGTTGACAGTGAAGTTGTGACAGAGACTTAGGAGTACCAGACCATGGAGGTCTTAAAGCCCTATTACCACTTGGCACAGAGTGTACTTTCATGTAAAAGAAAATAAAGTAGTTGTGTTCTATGAGAAGTTTGAGGAACGAGAGAGGAGAGTGATGAAGACCCTGTGCCCCCAGGGAGAAAACAGGAAGACCTCTGTTCCCAGAGATGAAGATTATTTTAGAGATATATAATGACAACCTTTACTTTTGGACAACTCATCTTTAAAACAGTACCCCATAAGCTGACATAACCCATAAAGACAGCTGTGGAAAAGCTTGTGGAAAATGGGAGGGATTTCACGATTACAGATTTCCCCAGGGGACTGCTGTTCATGAAGAGAACAACGAGAGAACTATTTTCTAGTAGAGAAGTCTCCATAACATTAACAAGAAGGACTTCTCTCCCTAAGTGAACTGAAGAAAGACTATTTTAGAGGTGGTAAACTGACTAAAATTTTAGATTTTGTTTCTTTACATTGTCATTGGGAAAGAAAAGGTTGTAGGGGGAGAAGAAGTGTCCTGAAGGTTTTATTCTAATTCTTATTATTCCTTCTTTTAGTTACTGTTAATAAATTTTTCTTTATACCAGTTTAAAGTTTTGAGCCTGCTTTGCCTTTCTTCTAATCCTACCTCACAGCAGAGACTGAGTGCACTGGTGATTGGCCAGCACTGAACCCACCACACTCATTGGCCAGGAAATCTCAAATTAGCGAACCAAAACCATTACAATTTTATAGGATGGAAATCCTTCAACTGCTTTTCTAGGATTACAGATTTCCCCAGGGGACTGCTGTTCATGAAGAGAACCACGAGAGAACTATTTTCTAGTAGAGAAGTCTCCATAACATTAACAAGAAGGACTTCTCTCCCTAAGTGAACTGAAGAAAGACTATTTTAGAGGTGGTAAACTGACTAAAATTTTAGATTTTGTTTCTTTACATTGTCATTGGGAAAGAAAAGGTTGTAGGGGGAGAAGAAGTGTCCTGAAGGTTTTATTCTAATTCTTATTATTCCTTCTTTTAGTTACTGTTAATAAATTTTTCTTTATACCAGTTTAAAGTTTTGAGCCTGCTTTGCCTTTCTTCTAATCCTACCTCACAGCAGAGACTGAGTGCACTGGTGATTGGCCAGCACTGAACCCACCACACTCATTGGCCAGGAAATCTCAAATTAGCGAACCAAAACCATTACAATTTTATAGGATGGAAATCCTTCAACTGCTTTTCTAGATTACTGTGGACAAAAATAATTTTAGGGTTTGTTGTCATTTAAAGGATATGGTTGTGCAGGACTGAAAGGAAGACTGTAACACTGGCAATCTCTCTCTAAGGACAGCACTGGCTCCTTCACCTCACACAAGTCATTTTTGGAGCCCCTCCCTCTCCCTCCCCACCTCATTTCTGCCACTTCAGGGCAAAAGGTGAATTTGGCAGTGCTGGGTTAATGGTTGGACTCAATGATCTTAAAGGTTGTTGCCAACAGAAATGATGCTCTGATACTGTTGTCATGTGGGGATGGAAGGATTTTCATTGCACACCCTGGCCAGAATAAAGTAATGCCTGATTCTCTAACACTTTAAAGATGGTGTTGGAGAGTTTCTTTGATTCCCTTGCTTGTGGTGACACTAAGATTCTGTGATTCTCTGTTGTGTCTGCAGTGGGCTCAGTACCTGCACTGAGTACTAACCAACAGATAAGTGGCTTTTCCTAATTGGAACCCTTGCATTTTGTAGGCTCAGACTCTTTATTTCCATTTTGCTGAGATCAACAACCAAATTCTCCACAATTTACTTCAAGGCCCTTTTAACATTCACTGATAATGTCTGCACAGTGATTACTTTGGGTGTTATTCTGCTGCAGGCATAGCTCAAAGTGCTCTCTCTGACTCCCCTCTGCTTGCCACTCAGCTTGCATTCCCCAGCCACCACAGCCAGTCAGAAACTTTTTTAATGAGGCTGCTTTATCACTTATGAACATTATCATTCAGCACTGTGGGTAGATCTGTGAGTGAACAGCTTGCTAGTAGTAAATGGTGATAAGAAAGATGCCCTTGGCAAAGGCAAACAGAATTTTGCCCTGCAATAGCTCCTTTATTCTGGGCCAGTTCAGCATGCCCCTCTTATAAATGTGTGTCTATATGGCAAATGTGTTCATGTGTCTCCTGCCAGCAATTACAGAGTCTTCTCTGCTTCTCTCACCATTTAGTAATGAGGGAGACAGGTTTCTGTGTAGGAGTTATTTACTTCCCAAAATCTTAGAAGGATCACAGAATAGCAATAAAATAAAGGCAACAGGAAATCGTGGCTTCCATCCATAACATAAAACATCTGAATTTTGTAGAAAAGTCATTCACTCCATTAAATAGTAAGAACTAGAGGCTGTAAAATTATTCTCAAGACTACTAAAAGGAAAAGACAGGCAAAATAAAAGCATAATTCAGCTTGATGGAAACAAAAATAATTAAATACCTTTTATCACTATTTGCCAAACACATGCTTTAGTTAAATCCTGAGAGCTGCATGTGATGTCACTGGCTTTAGAAATATGGTTGTCTCATTAGTGTTGTTGGTATGTACAACAGGTCTTCTAAAAATAGTCATGTTCAAATTAGAGCTGCAAAAACCCTGATGCAGTGATTCTCTGTAGTATCCTGCCTCATCTCTCCTAACATTTGTCAAAGACAAATTCTGTCTCTTCTAAACATTTTTACCCATCTTTAATAGTACAGACCACCAACACAATTACTGTATTGCAGTATGTATGTTCAGGGAGGAGAACAAAGATGCCTCTGTTTTTCAGTTTAATTAAAGGTAAGTGGTAAAATGGAAGTGAAAAGACAAGCATCTTGCATGTCTTTATTGTCAATATTTCAGCAATCACAGCTTTGCTGCTTGCAATCATCTCCTGCAAATTTCTCAAATATTATTTGATGTTACTCCACTGGTTTTCAAAATTGTTTAGCAAGAAATGTTAAATGCAGGCTGGACTCAGACAACTGAAGGTAGCTCTGTGGGTCAGGGGAGTGCAAGTTGCCAATAAGTGCACAGGAGGATGTATTTACAAAAGGTACTAAAGGATGCTGGAGCAGCAAATCAGACAACCGAAAAGCTAAAGCCAGACATTGATTCTTATGTAAGTGTTACCTAATTGCTATTTCTTCCCAGAAATCAGTCCACCAGAGCTGTCTTGCGTTTCATTACAAATGACCCTTTGTGAGGACCCTTGACAGCAACTGTGAGGTTTTTAAGTACTGCTTATTATGACTACATAAACTTTAAATGCAAGGACCAGCATTAGTTTTCTCTCCTAGGAATATGAAAGGTATTGTCAGGGACACACTATCATTGCTGTGAGGAATACAACACCTTACTAATCCTGCATTTGTTTGGTGCTAGAACCTACACTGTGAACTCTGGCCACCCCTTGTAGTAACCAGACAGCAGTACTCTGAAATACAGCCAGTGCAATCAAAAGAACTACAGTGTTTTTCCACACAGAATAAGTCCCAATCATGCTCATGAATACTGTGTGCACTTTGAAAGCTGAGTCCTCCCCAGAAGAGGACTTCTAAGAGTCCCTTCATTTTTTTTTTTTTTCCCCTTTTATTTTCTTTTTCTTTTTTTCCTTTTTTTTTTTTTTCTTTATAGACAAGGCTAAGCACTGGGTGAATCTGAGGAAGTTCTCAGCAAGGCATCCATCTACCTAGTATCTGACCATTTGAGTGTCAGCTTGCATAGAGATGCTAGACTTGCAACTTTGCTGTGAGCAATAACTGATCCTGTAATGTGCAGGGGGGAAATTCTGCATTGTTCTGAACAATTTTCAATACACCAGCAGATTTTTTTCTACCAGATGGAAGGCTGAATTTGCTTTTGTTCTACTTGCAGCTCCTTCATGCTTACTTTCCCTGAGTACTCAGATGTGAAGTAAAACTGTGATTACACCTTCATGTTTATGATCTGCTTGCTTTAATGTACAGCCCTCGCCTCTACTTTTTGTAACACAAGCAGAGAAATGCCATGTGAGAGACAGAGCAGCCACATGTAATATATTTCATGAGAGATAGTCGGTTCCTTCAAGCAGAGACTGGATCTTTCTGGCTAGGAGGAGCGCTAGATCTTCCCAGCACTGCTTCTTCCAGATCAGCAACTCTGTGTTGCACCTTGGAAGGTTCTAAGACTTGGGTGGGTTTCAGAGCTGGACACTGGAGCTGGAGAGAGACACCACCTTTTTTTTTCTTGAGTGAAGGCCTGATTGTCAGATTTTCACAGTGGAGGAGGATCATCTCTTCCTGAGTGATTCATACACTCTGATCCTCGACTCCTCAGCTGCTTGAACCCCAGGGGCTAGGACAGGATGAAACAAAGAACTGAAAATTATTAAGAGGCATGAAGAACACTCAGCCCATTTCATTGACTTCTGTGGGATTGAATCTGAGCTTTCTTTGCTGAAATGTGTTTCATTTATACAAACTAATCTGTTGCCCACATATAAAGAAACATTAAATTCTCACAGTCTGTAATTCTCAACAAATTTTATACAGGGCATTTATCCTGCCATCAAAATACAAAAAGCTTTGTCTGAGAGAAGACAGCGAGAATTGCAGCTGGAATTACTTATAGAGTCATTCTTTAGAATTCCAAATGGTTTCATCACATGTAGATATCATGTGCTAAGCTGTAACTGAGTGTGGCAGAGAATCAGGGCCCCTACAAGGCATGTGCACAACACTAATGGCCTAATGTCAATTCTAAGTATTACTTATGTATTTTGGTGAGTTGATTTGCACCTACATGCAGATTATGACTACAGTCAATTTTTCATCAACAATTTTCCATCAACGTCTAATAAGACAATGATTGCACTTTTGCAACCACATGAAAAAAATTACTTTGCATAGATCAGGAAAGATAATAATTATCATAAAGCTTACTTGACTGTGTTCAGAAAATTAGCAACTGCTCATGGAGGATTGTCAGTGAAAAGATGTCATCTAAAAAGAAATTATAAAAATTAGACATTTGGAGTTTCTGAGAAGAAAATTTTTGAAAAATATGTTTTTGAGAAGTATGAAAACACAGAAATAGTACCTGTTGCAGAAGCAATATAAATGCGCAGCACTGTCACACTCAGTGATTGTTATGGCTCCCTGAATAATTACAGCAAATTAAGTTCTATAATTTTCTTTAATTCATACACATCTAAAATAAAATTTCTCAGTTGAAAAAAGCAAACTGGTGTTTTATTGACAAAAGAGCTACACTTTGAATGGAAAAAAGGATCAAACATCAGACTGAGAACATATTTTTGTATCTAATTGTGCAGAAAACTGTGGAAATACCAAAATGCTGCTGATTGTTTTCAATGTTATGCTTCCCTCTTCAATGTGATTACTCTAAGATGGGAAAGAACAGTGTCAGAAATACCTGAAATATGAAAAAGAAAAATTAAATTATTTCAATGTTGATAATATACCAGTTTGTCATAGTACTAGGAACACTTATCTGCAAATTAACACAAAATGAGAACGACATTTCTCCTCCAGTATTAGTCACGTGATGTAATTTGTAACCTGACAAAGTAAGCCAGAAGAAAGTAATAATTTGATCCTAGATGTTGCAATCACAGTTTCTTCCCTTCCAAAGGAATTTAAAAACATGATACTTCAGCTGATATCCTGATCCCATGTAAGTACTGAGGCATGTCTGTACTGATGGCTGTTGCTATAACCTTGCAGTTCCAAGAAGCTTCACTCGCTCTTGCTGTCAAACCCAGTTTTATGTTTTCACACAACTTCTTTTTCTTTCAGGCTGTGAGATTGAAAATGTGTAGGGGATAAACATGCAGAAAGCTGTGGTGAAGAACAATCTCCTTGGGAACACATTACCTTTTGCAGAGTTCAGCACTCCAAAGCTTGGAACTCACAGAAAGGGAATTTGCTGATCCAGCTTAAACGAAGTACCCCTGTATGCATGCATTATAAAATAATACGTAATTACAGAAACTTCACATCTGTGCTCCTACAAAACTCATCCTTATTCCATGTGTGAAACTGATGACTGTTCCTGAGTGGGTAGATATACCTTCTTCTCTTTACACCAAATCATGTTGTTACTTTAAGGGGTTTTTTTAAATTTAATGGATTATTTCTAGAGAAACCCCTTACTGCATAGAGACAACTAAGTGAAAAAGCTAATGTTATTCACAGACTATGTAAGACTAAGTATTTATATGCAAGACTATGTATTTATATGCAAATACTGTATTTAAAACCTGTAATAATAACTCTTCCTGTTTCTTATCAATTGGGATACTACTTGAAACAACTGAAATGAGAGTCCTTGCAGAGGAATCCTAAAGCAGACACCATCAAAGGCCAGGAGAAGGTTTGCCTTAACTTTCCTCAACTAGGAACAAATGTGAAGTCATAGTAGACAGAGAACATCCAAATTAAACCCCATTCCTAATCAGTAGATATTTGAGCTACCAGGTTTGCTAGGCAGGGTACCTTCACAACTGCAGATAAGAAAGAAAAGGGGATGGGACAAGTGGGAAGTTAATAATCCCCAATCTTGCTTACCATCTCTCCCAGTGAAATTTCAAAGTCCAGTTATAAGCCTTGCACTCATGCAGCCAAGAAGGTAAACATCATCAGCGTGATTTAGAGGGCTTTCAGCACATCCCTCATGATCATTCAAGTAGATAAGGAAAACAAGATAAACAGAACAAAGCCATCTAGAAAATACTTCACTTTGTCAGCTGAATAACAAAAGTGTTTTACAGGGTTGCAGCTTGACCTAAGGTAGATTCATTAATTTCTCTCCTGCTCTACTCAGTTGCACACTGCTGGGTTAGTGATGTGTGGTAGCTACTGACCTTTTTCCTAAGGACACCCTTGTCCCTGCCTTCGGAACACTTCCTGCTAATAATGTTTCAGTGTCTTTCCCATATAATTTCTGACACATAATTTTGCTGTGTTTTTCACACGGAGGGCACTACCATATAATTTCTCTTCCCCTGCTGTTTCCAGTATTGTCGCTTACAGCCTTGAGCCTTCTTTTCTGACGCAGCTGGAGGACGGCAGCTGGGTGCAGAAACCCTTCTGCAGAGGTTTCCATGGGTAATGTTGATTCTCCAGGCAGCTGCAGTGCTATGCAGCAAGCTTTAGAGCTCCTTTTTATAGATGCAGTTATCAGTATGCTTTGACTCCTGGGGCCACAGTCATACCGAGAATAATCAAAATACTGGCGGTTCCCAGACTACATGTGGATGTAACTTGTCCTTACAGCTAGTAACCTTCATAGACATGAAGCTGTGAAGCCTTTAGGGAATAGTGGAAATTAATTTTAAAACTACATTTCTGTCCTTGCTATGCAGTCTTTTCTAAAGTTCAGTGAATGCTGATGGAACAATTCACATGAACAGGTTTAATCAGGCCTGCAGACTACAATTATGTAAGCATGATGCAATTTGCTGGGACAAAAACATGGAACAAGTTCAGCATTTCATTACATTTCAATATGGATTGAGAGCCTTAATTCATATGTAGGTGGATTGACTAAACTTGGCAGGTAGCTGGTTGTAACAGGAACTAAAGGTGTCTGGATGTGATGGTTATATATACGGTATACACACACACACACGTTTACTTCTTACTGGTTATTCTATACTGCCAAATCTACTTAACCTTAACTGTTTTCCCCCAAGTATGGAGTAACAGATTTATTTCAGGTCATGGGAAAGTAGCTCCAGCCAAAATCTAGAGCACCAAGGAAGCAGGGTACGCTTGTGTGGCGTGGTTAACTAAGTACAGACACAAAAATGAGAGGCTGGATGGAAAATCACATGAGCTAGGGAAGCCATGTATGCTGTGGGATTTTTCATCCCTTACTTAAGATACTACAGCACCCAGTCTGTCGTGAAAATTATCTTTTTATCTCTTCTTCAATGCTGATGCATTCATAGTTTTTAAGAGGGGCTATTAAACCATCTTGTAAGCACTTAAGGGCTTTTTTTAAGTTTAAATTCCTGTCTGGATCTGAAAAAGCAGAGCTGCTGCCTTTCCTGGAAATATTGTTTCTTACTGATATTTGTTATTTCTTATGAAACGCCTGTGCTGTTTAAAAATATTAGGCACACTATATCCATATACACCTATATTCACACACACCTTGTTCTTTCTTGGTCCTATAGTGCTTTTCTTTCCCCTAACAGTTTCTGTTCTTTGGCCTCCCTGAAGCCAGCAAAAAAGAACCTCAGGGGAAAAAACCCCAGACACATATCTGATATTCAAAATAATAAAAAAATTTCTTCCATTCTTGAATAGATAAAGAATCCTTATGGTTCCCACAAGCAGCCAAAGAAATACTTCCAGCACAAATATCATTGAGGAATTTCTCCTCGTGCTTCTTCTCCACTTCTGTCCTTAAGAGTAACAATGGCTGTGGGGTGGTATATGAGGAGCTGCACCACATTTCAGCACTGCTGATACATCAAACATAGGTGACGTAGCACACATGTCACAATGTTAGGAAGCATAAAGCCACTCCCGAATAATTCCTGATAAGGCTGAGAATCATCCTGGTATTTGGCAACTGCTCTGCAAACACAAGAAGGGAAGCCTTGCTCACTAAAATGCAGGGTATGAGACAAGCAAAGCTCTGAATGCCTCAGCATGTGAAACATTCATCTGCTGTCTTCATCTGCCTTTGCAGGGAACATGTCTAAATGCCTACCCTTAAAGGGAAGTCACTATTTTAAGGGAGCCACTGTTTTACTCTGGGAGCACAACAACGAGAATTTCTACCAAACACGTTCACCACAACATAAAAACTTCAGGGATAAGGTTCTGATGCAAAAAGGGGGTGTGGGAGAAGTTATGTAAAGTGTATTTCCTTTTGCACCAGATGGCAGATAGGAAGGCTCTGAGCTTCACTTGTCTGAATGTGAACTAAGCCTACCCTTTTGCACTCTGCCACTGTCACCAGCTCCTTCAGAAGTAAAAGATCAAAAGTAAATAGTATCTTTTTCTGCTGATCACACCACCAAAGCAGTTTTCATATTTGAGGGTTTTGACATTAGTTTCCTTGAATGCCTTTAAAAGCAACATGATCTCATCTGCCCAGAAGAGAGCAGCATTGATACCCTAGGAAGGACAACCAAGGTATTCTCTCTTGCCAGTGGGCTGGCTCATGTTATCAGACAAAATATGGGGATCCAATTTTTGTGTTGAAATTTAGGAATTATTTCTATTAACCAACTGATAACCTAAGCATTGTTAATGGGAGTTTTTCTGTGTAACAGGCATAAATCTGAGTCAGTCACACAGTTGTGTTTTTGTTAGAGCAACAGAAACTGTTATTTGAGGCTTGAGTAAAAGTACACTGTTATAGACAAGGCTACCCTTGATGCACAGCAGATGTACCTTAATTAATCACAGAAACAATCTGCTGTTTGCAGGGAACTTTTGATGCACCCATTTTAAAGGGCATACACACCAAAGAGCCTGATGTTGAGAGATGAAGTATAACTCTGTTACCTAAAAAACCTGTGCCTTCAGGATTTAGAGGAGAGGAGGATATTCTGCTTAACTGAGGCTTCCTTTTCTTCCATGAGACAACGCTGCCTCCTATTCAGCCCTGTGCCAAGGGGTGTCCGTGAGCCGTGGCCATGTGGCAGGGCAGAGCTGTTCGCTGGGTGTGCCTGTGCCCTCGCTCCGCGGGGCAGCGCTGGCGGCGAGCCCAGCGCGGCCCGGCCCGGCCCGGCCCGGCCCGCGGCTCTGCCCGCGCTGCCATCCCGCTCCAGCTCTGCCCGAGCCCGTGATGCCGCACGCTGATTTGAGCAGGACCACCCTCCCGCAGGAGCAGCCCTATGGCCGCTGAAGCGCAGAATTCCCTCCTACCCTCCCGCACAAAAAAAAAATAATAATTACGTTTTGCTGAACGACCACAAATTTTCACAGCACTGCAGCGTCAGTTAAACCAAGCACAAACCTCTTTATTTTCTTTTCCTTGCCGTTGGAGCCGAACTACTTTTACATTTCTGTGTGGGTGATTGCCTGTGATCCCGCAGAGGGAAGGTAGCTTTCCTGAAGAGTGTGCTGGAACAACTGTTGATCTCCCTTGTGAAATCCCATCTGTTGTCTGCAGCAACTCTTACTTGCTGGCTGAACAAGATAATGTTTCCCCAGCAGCAGCTGTAATTTTCCAAGCACTTTGCTGGGTGTAAAGTCAGAACTTTATTCAAAAAAGGACAAGCAGGGATATAATTTTGCTCTCTCCCTTCTGTTTTGTGGTGTGTTAAGAATGAAACTGCTGGCAGTCAGGTAGGGCTGTGTCCTTGTGGGCTTCAGGCTTTGTTCAAGACCTCTAAACATGAAGAACAGTGTGCTAATTTTAGAGGTGCATTCTGGAAATGGGAAAGCCAATTTTTTAAAATATACTTTTCTGTATTACTACACCACATTTTTTACATTCTGCCATTTATTATTTAAATAATATTTAAATTAATGTTAGTTTACAGTGGAAACTAATCAGCAGAAGCTGAAGTTGGGAATATTTCAGTGTATTAGAAAAATGTTCTTCACCCAGAGGGTGGCTGGGCACTGGAACAGCTCCCCAGGGAATGGTCTCAGCACCAGCCTGACAGAGCTCAAGATGCGTTTGGACAATGCTCTCAGGCTCATGGTGTGGCTCTTGGGGTGTCCTCTGCAGGGCAGGAGTTGGGCTTTGGTGATCCTTGTGGGTCCGTTTCAACTTAGAATATTCTGTGATTATGACTGCAATGAATAATTTGGGGAAATTAAAAAGAAGATTGTGATGATTCAGGAAAAAAAGATTCCCAAACCAAGTGAACTTAAATAATAACCCAACCACCTCTTCTTCCTGGTTATTGGGAAATTCCTTGGGTTTGAAGAGCTGTACCTGAAACCACTCTCCCCTCGTACTAGTGAGACATTTCCCTCATGCTAAAACATTTGAACATTTGATTTTTTTTTTTTTTTTTCCCGAAAAGTGAGCGAAATGTGAAATGTACAAATAGCCTTCCCTTCGCCCGCCCTGCCCGGCTCTCCCCTGCCCGCGGCCGGCCCGGGCAGGGGCGGGCCCGGCGGCCGCCCCCGCCCCTCGCAGGGCGGCAGAGAGTTGAACTGAGGAGCCGGAGCTCGGCGCGGGGCCGCGGCCGCGGCGCTGCTCGGCCTGAGGAGCGCCCGCCCGCGCCGGGGGCCAGCGGGGCGGCCGATGGCGAGGCGAGAGGACGGGCGGGACTGGGCGTACAGGTAGGGCTGCCGACAGTGCTGAGCTCGCACCGCGCCGGCCGGCTGGGAGGGCGAGCTGCGCCTCCCCGAGCGCTCGGAGCCGGCCCTGCCGGGGGCTGCGGCCGGGCGAAGCCCCCGCGGACCGGCCCAGGCGCGGCTGTGGCTGAGGGCACCGAGCGGCCGCCGCAACCTTCCCTGCCCGGGGGCAGCCGCGGAAGGTGGCTTCCCTAAACCCTGCGTCCTCCCTCTTTGTTTTCCCTTTCTACCTTAGGAATGGAGTGGAGCATGAAATTAATCTGCACTTGCTGCCTGGGCAGTCGCAGTCGTAAATAAGAGATGTGTGTTCATGGACGTGTGAGGGGGTTTTGTGTGTGTATGTGGTTTCATGTTCCGTGTCTGCGGAGAAACCTCTCTCGGGGGTCTCGCTGCTTTTTACACCTGTGGGTTTTGTGTCACATTGGAGGATACATGAATACTAAGGTGCTCTTCTAAACAGCCAGCAATCTAATAGCGATTTGGGGTCTGAATATTTAATTGTTCCTCATCTGATTCATGCTTTACTACCTGTGACACTCCCGTGAGCCAGTTTTCCCAAGGCTGTGCCAGTGCTGCTCCATGGCCAAATTCCTTCACCATGAATGAAACAGACAGTGTTTTGGGAAGTTAAATGCTGAAGTCTGTCCTGAAATCTTGTCTGACTGGACAGATCCCTCTGCCTGTTTAACTTCTGCGAAGCCCATTAGTGTCCTGTACTCAGGGAATAATTTGCAGGTACGGAGCACCCTGGGAAGTTGCCATAAATATAATTTAGCAAGGTGAGTTGATATATTAGAACAGAATCAGCCATGCAGTTCTGATACTCTGTCATTATTGTGCTGCCTGAGATAATGTGCTGTAACTTTGAACAATTGTAAAAGATAATAAAATAAACATTTCGGTACTACATATGAAGAAGGTAGCTCGACACAAGGATTTGTCTTTTTCCATGTTGTATATTTTCATGAAGATAATTTCAGAAGTTACCTGTTTAAAAAAATAACCTTTGTAACTTGTTACATGTGTACTTTCTGTTGTCATTTTTCTGCGCAGAACTGTCTGGAAAGAGAATTCAGGCCATATTGGAACTGTTGTGCTATACTTCATGTTTTTCAACATGTTTGGCAGTGTTGTGGAGAAAAATACCTCCCAGACTTTTATGTGGCCGTAATTTTGTGTCAGTTTCGCACACAATGGGTCCTCTGCTCCAAAAACTCCTTTCTTAAAAAAACAGGGAATCTGTGAAACTGACTGAACAGTGCATGTTTAAGTTAATTTATTTAAACAGCTTTGATATGCTAAATGGAGTGTAACACTTTGTGTGAAGTAGGCTTTTGCTGGGAGGAGGGAGTCTTGAGCTGCTTTTAGAAATAGCAGCTGGAAGTTATTTAAATCATACTTGCCTTTTTTTTTTTTCTTCAGCTGTAGGTATGTAGAAACATTATTATAGGAATTCTTTTTATTTTGTAGGGTTGATCCATATGGGTTTGAAAGGCCAGAAGACTTTGATTATGCATCCTATGAAGCATTCTTTTCCAGATACCTAGTGGTACTCACTAGAAGAGCAATAAAATGGTCCAAGCTCCTAAAGGGGAATAACAGTATACAGAAGAGTTTAAAAGGTGAGCTTCATGTCTCTTTATCAGTAAAAGTGCATTATGTTAGGATTCAATAGGTGTGTATTTTTAAGTGTTGAATACTATTTCTGTCTTCAAATGAAAACCAGTAGTATAAACAGTAATAATTCATAAGCAAGTATGCTATTGTTAGAGGGATTTCATTTAAACCTTCCAAAAGAGTAATCCCTCTTCAGCACAGGAATATCTTGTTACATATGTAACCCAGCTATTGTGGCCACTGGCACTCCAAGATGCCATTTTGCAGCTGTTGACTGTATTGTACTCTCTTTAAAAAGACATGAGATGATGTAGAAGATGCTGTCTTGAACCACAGGGATCAGGATGTTAGGGCTCTCAGTTGCTGCCTCTTTAACAGTTCTTTAGGCTGCTGAGATTTTCTAGCTCTTCTTGTCCTCCTTTTGCAAAATCACATGTACCATGCAGCTCAAAAGCTGTGTACTAGGAACTGATGGTAAATGCCTTAAGAAGTGAAGAAAGTAGGATTAGTGCACTGGCTAATGCAATACTGGATAAAATGCTGATGGAAGTGTTAATGTCTGCTTCAAAGAGCATGAAAATCTCTAGTAATGTTTTATCTTGCAAGAGATACAGGTAGAAATAAATGCAGAGAGTCAGAAGGTGTTAGGGAATCCTGTGAAACTAAAGGATGGCATTTCCTCCCACTCTCTTTCTGGGTTATGTTTTCATATAAGCATCTAAATTTTCCTGTTTGCTGTAAATGATGCTTATCAGGTTGCTTTCTCTGGTTGTCTTCTGGAGTTGGGCAGAGTTCTCTGAAGAATATTAAGGAAAAATTGAGTAAAATTTAGAGCTGTGCTCCAGGTGCAGCCTGTGGCTGGTGATTCTGATGGTTTTGGGGCAGATTTTCTTCCTTGGCACCAGAAATAGGATGATAACTAGCGAGACATTTTAAATATAACAGTGTGTTTTGGGTACAGATGTCTGTGCTGTGGGTGAGAAATTCCAGAAAATGTAGGTTTGAGCTATAACTGCTAGATCATATGCTGCTAACCAGAAAGGATCCACTTCTACTATATTATTTTTTTCATAGAAATATAAAGATGTTTTTATTTGGGGTGTCAAGTTTGAATGTAGTGAGAACATCATGCCATTTTGAATTAGTGAGGATTTCGAAATTTTGGAGAACTTAGTCTTCTAGCTGGGGGAGAATAATCTCAGTTTTCATTCATACCCTTCTCTTAATGTGTGAGTGGTAACAGTGGCAGCTTTTAGCAATTTCTGTGAGTTCATTTCATTTCTCTTTGTGTTCCCAGTTCTAGCATTTTAGAAACAGAATGTTACTGTGATACTAACAGTGGAATGCCTTTGGTCTTATTTTGGAGTCAAAACTTTGACCAAATCTCTCAACTTGTGTGCCAGGCTTCAGAACCAATGGCCATGCTGCCCCACTGGGCACATAACGGCAGCAACCTTTAATGTGGCTTTGATTGTCTCAACAGGCTGCTCACTGTGGGAACTGGGATTCTATAAATGCACTGAGGGGACACAGGCAATGGCTCTGGACTGTCACAAGTCCTGTGGGCTGATGCATCTTTGATGCTACTGACTTGTGCTAAAGATACCTGGATTTCTAGGCTATGGATTCTCACATATACATGTAATTACAGGGAGGGTGACAGGAAAAATACTGAAGAAATGAAGTCTGAGTATAGATTCAGAGTTGTTACAAAAAGCTTTCTGCATTAGCTTCATCTGATACCTCAGAGGAGGAGAGTGAAAGCTTAACCTGTGCAATTACTGATTTTTAAATACTTTCCTTCTCATTTCAGTACTAAGATTGAATTCTGTGACATGCACATGGAATTGTGTAAGAAGGTGTGTGCTTTATCCTGCAAGGTGATTATGCAGTGATTTCCTTGCAGGCAAATAGCAGAAGCTCTGCTGGTTATTCACTGAATTTCCCTCCTCCAGGACCTGACTTCATTGCTATGAAGCTTTGGTCAGAGCTGCTGGCTCTGCCATAAGCTAGAACTGAGAAGAATATTTGATTTGCCACTTCCCTCCCCAAACACAGTAGCTGTGAACCAATGTTGTGTGTCCTGCTGTGAGCAGATATGAGAGAGGCAGTGTATGTGTGGTATCTCAGTAGTTCCACACCCATTTGTCTACACACAGAGAAGCTCGTAATTTCTGCCCAGGCGAACAGGAAGAAGTGATGACTTGT